CATGTACTCTGCCTCGTATGTATATAAAAATTAATGTTCATGTAGAGGCGCTCAATTAGTGCCCATGAGGATACATAGGCCAGTGCTTTCATGAGACTATGTTCTCATCACCATCTAACATCACTTGCTGATTAAAAAGTTGTCAATTAAAAACCAAACATCTTAACAGCACCGTTTGCGGTGAATTTGTTAATGGGATCACTATAGTTCCTAACAAATTATGTGAAATTATAATTGACAATAATATATTCAAATCTTACACTTCTAGTTTTAGAATGGAAAACATTATAGATAAGATCTTAAGAGGGGGCATTTAGTTTACTTTGCAGAATTGTAGTGTAAAGGGTTGAAAAATCAAAGGTTGGTATTGATGAGACTCATGATTGTAAATTTTCTAATAGTTCTTTAACTGCAGTTAATATTGAAGCAAGTAATTTCGAAAGTGGCTTTGTTTAACAACTAGAAGAACCTGCTATTTTATCACTGGTTGTAAGTATTTTTTTTTTGTAGTTTAGGTATCCAATAAAATAAAGGGAGATCTCCCTATAGGGAGTTCTGAAAGTGGCAAGTACAGACTTGTGATTGGATAATATTTCATCCTTACTGAAGGTAGTGCTTTGATATGTAGGATTTGCTGTTGATTCCCCAAAGGAAAGTTCGTTAATCTATGTTATTAGACGCGTTTGTCGAAATAATAGATATATTTATGAACACATTACAGACCATAGCAAATCTAAATAAGACGATAAAGATTTGAAAAGTCACGCAACGCTGAAACTCCCAGTAAACTTTGTCCATGTGATCTCGTGATTCTGGAAATATTAATACAAAAGGCTGGTCGTGTTTGTAAACAGAGTCAAAGAATACAAATGATCCGTAAGATGTGTATTCAAACTGGTAATAAAGTGTATCATTGGATAACCAATAGTCATAGTAAATGCATATGTAAGAGTCGGAATCATCTCCCAAAGTCTCTAAATTTAGGGACTATATATTGCAATATTGCTATCACTTGACAAATCACTGCTAAATACCAGAAGTAAAAAGTCTTGCCCAAGAAGACACAACGGAATTTACCATTTATTACCGAGTCAGAATCAGCTTTACGGAAACAGCCAAGAATAATCGCTTGAGATCTTAACTGCACCAAGGCGTAAAATGATACATGGAATTGTCTAATACTGATAATAATTTCAAATCATGGATTTTCATAGAACAGACCCAAACATATTGAAGTTAAGAGACATCTAATGTTTGGAATTGAACAATTTTAAAATTAATACCATCATGTAAAGGGTTTCCTCTTTTAGGTATAAAAAATATCAGCCGTTATTTCCTCCAATTCAAACATTTCCTGCCGTTATGAGAAATCAATGATGTTTAAATTTATTATTTCCATTTCCCGTGCAAAATGGATCCTTGTTACTTAATAATACTGAGATTATAACTTTTTAGTGTATTGTTTATTAATTATTAACATTTTGTTCATTACCTATAAATGGTTGTGTTTACGGCTGTTTCACACGTAGTTCAATAAACACATAGACATAACACATCATACAAAGGGACTTCTAGAATGCGAATATCGATTATTGATGAAGAATTTTTGTCATATAGATCCATGAAGTCTTTTAAAGGCAAACATCCCCACCAATCATCACCATCGTCACCGTGCAGTCCTCGCACTCTTCCCCGCACTCTTCCCAGCTTTCTTCTCTGTCATGGTCATCATCACTTCCACTACAGTAATTTTATGCATAGGTTATTCATATGAAGAGTAGGAATGACATCTTTGCTTCAAAGTTAATGGACCGTAATTCTTTTTGGCTATTTGAACTGTGTAGCCCGTATTGTCTTTATTCTATAATTTCCGTACCGGTAGAGATGGGCCATGTTGTAGCGTGATATTGCTTATAGCCACAGCCTTCTTTTTAAGATGAAATATTCTTGCGGCTAATGTTATAATTTTAAATCTTCTAGTCATTAATCATCCTGGTGTTCACTATGATCAGGAATTTGGATCAGATTAAGCACTTTTATACTTGCAACAACATCAATCTAACCTCTTTAATCATATATTCTTCCATTGACTGTTGCTTCCAGCTACAGTATACTGCCACAGTTCTTTTTTCGACTTATTATTCTAGACTATCCCCCTTTAATTTAATTAGGGAAATAGAAAGTTTATAGTTAAAATACTACAGTCTTTAAAGACAAGTAGACCTATTACATATTCATAGCGATTGTTTTTAGCTCTGAAAAGGGAACTCGAGACTGATGTTTAGGATTTTAACAATATATTGTGATGTTACGGTATTGCTTGGAAATGTTGGTGGCAATTAGGCTTTGATACGCACTTGTCTTCAGTGTATTTCAAATAATTCTGTTGTGCTGTTATAACATTGCACTCAGTTAAAAAACTTGTAAAAAGACTGTCTAATGGTTGGATGTGAAACTTTGTTATAAGCCCTATATTCCACAAAACTGTATTTCGTTTGCTCATTGAATGTTGGTAAACGGACGAAACTTTTGTGTTTGTATAATCTTACATCTCAAGAGTGTATGCATATTTTTATTGTTAAAACAATGCATTATTCATACCGTTAACATAAAGTTTCATTTAAACAGTTAACCCAAAATAAATGGACTGATATCTAACGTGAATCGGAACACTCGGAGACGTGAAATATAGCAACGACAGTTAAATAGTCTCTATGGGAACTAGGAATCATCTCAGTACCATCATTATTCTTCTATTTTACATAGATAGCAGTATCTGTGCTATCCTTACCTTTGAAGAGCCATCTGTATATGTTCATTATATGAACGTGGAGCTTCAAAATTCCAAGGTATTTTGGGTTAAAGGTCCAAAAGATGGAATGTTGGGTCTATTTGACTCAACCACATCCATGGGTCCGGTTTACGAGTTTCTAATAGGTGGTGGTACAAATAGATACACCGGAATTAGAAATGAGACTAACGGTCCTATTCGACGACACTTATTTCATGAAGATTTAGTGCTGGATGCAATCAGGTTTAAAGCTTTCTGGATTAGTTGGAATGACAATTATATTCGGATTGGATCTGGATTTGACGTCGGCTCGGGTACAATCATAGCTTTATCTAGATCAAATACCATTCCTATAAATATTTTAGTTGTAAGGCCACACCTTGGGTTGCCTATATCCTTCATAATGGAACAAGAATGTTCCAAATCTCCTTAGAGTCGGTATGAACAAAACAAAATACAGTAGACTTAATTTGGTTTTTAAACCGCTTATTTTCAGATACCCCTATAATTTTTGAGAATGAATATTCAGTAATAGGCATGACACGAATAATTAATTTGAATTTTGTAGATCTGTATTCGATATGCAAATTTTCAACTGGAAAGCTGACATTAAGCTCAGGTAGCAGGTAGACACGAAGTTGAATAAGATCGTGAGATATAAATAATATTGTTTTTAAGCCACATTTGCAAGATTTTTTGTTCGCCTGAAGACACATACCGATTAAAGATGAGTTCCCTTATTTTCATTTATGAAAATGAAAATGCTAATACTTATATGAATAAGATGTATAGGTGTTCTTATGACTAGAAAAATACCAGTTTGTCTCATGTCCATAATTAATTCATGATTAGGTAAATTAGAAGAGAATAACCAGCAGAATTCCAATGAATGACCGATCAAGATAGGTCAAAATTTTTGTTTATCCAGACTGTACATACTTGGACATTAATGATTGGTTAAAACTCTTAATTATATGCAATAAGAACATAATGATTCGATTAAGAATACAATATGATAATTCATTAGAATCCACAATTAACGAAATAGTTTGCTTAATTTGACACTAAAAAATGATATTTTGTAAGGAGTGTGTGACGAAAGCAGGGGGCGTACCATGCCCTCGGGGAATTTTAAAACACCTAAATGTGTAAACACTGTAAAATCGGCTCAAAACTGCCAACAGTGTGTCCTAAATGCAAAAAAATTTCTGTATATTAAAATTTATTCGAATAATCATTGCAAAGGTAAATATATATATTTCAAAGCAAAATGGATTCTATTTTTTCGATTCGATATATCTATTTTTCTGTACAATTGATGTATTGAGCACTATTTTAACAATGAAAATATTTTGTTATTGTAGAATTATATTGCCCAATACATCAATTATAGAGCGATATGGACATTTCCATCGGCTTCTGTTTTAATATTACAATACAGTATTAAATATGTATATATCGATCAGTGGCTCAACCAGATGAGAGGGGTCCCGTAAACCTAAGTGGTTTGGTTTCCCCCCGGGAACTTTTTTTGTTTGATAACATATGCTCTCTTGCATTCTCTTTATTTTTTCTGAGGATGTGGGTCCGTGGACTTGGTTCAACTCAAGTGTGTCTGTGGTCTGTGTGGTAGTTGAACCACTGCTATCTGCTGTAATACAATATCTGCGAACAGATTTAAATTTGCAGTACAATATCTGCGAACAAGTCTAAATTGCATCGTCTTCTACAGACTGCCAACACTGAGTCTGCTTATCCATTAGATTTTGAAAATACATAGTAAATGCTTTTATTGGTTGTTTTAACAGTGCAACACTTAGAACTGAAAAGTTTCTTAAGCATCTGACAGACAAATATCCCCTTTTTCTCAATCATATAGCTAGTCTTATCAACATTGGAAGTCTTTTTTTAAACTAGAATGCCATTGGCAAGTTAATATTCCCCTACATCTGTACACTGCATCGTGTTGCCCGTCCTCATTAATATACTCAGGAGAGAGTAAAGTCTACCCAGATCGCTAAGCCAACTAGAAAAACGTTACGGATCTGTGACTATGTACTTACCTAATATCTAGTCATGTATATTCAAAATAAACAGAAAAAATCATTTTACTCTACTGAATAAATGGCACATTATTTATCTAATGTATTGAGTTGCACTACGTATACCTAGTTATATAAATAAAAAGTAAATGCATTTAACAGATTTTCTCGTCTATTTAAGGTGAATTCATGCAGGGAAATTGATAACTGCGTAGTACTTTATATCACTTCAGAAACGTAAGAACCCTTTACACATACTCAGCTAATAACAATTAGTCTTTCTTTTACAAACAAGAATGAAACTTTCGAATACTTTAACAATCTTTATCGCGTTTATCTATCTGATTTCATTAATGTGATGAACAAAACAGATGATTCATAAAACTCACGTTGCTAGATTATACCATTCTCATTGAAATTTTAGTGATGGTTCACTGAAATCAATTTTCGCAGTGTAGGTTCTATCAAAAGGTTAGATTTCAGTATTTCTTAAAAGTTTAGCTTTTGTGAACAAGGTTCAGGATTTGTATAAGCCAGGCAAGTTTTTAATGTGAAATTATAACACATCAGTAGAATCGTTGTTTTTTTTTTTCTAGATGGGCGTATTCTAAAATGCTCGAAACTGTGCCGTATTGGTGTGGATGTTTTCGTAATAATTGCCTCTTTAAATTAGAAAATGTTTTGCAGCATATATCTTGAATTATCAATTTCCAAACAGAAATCTGAGAGATCAGGTAAAATGTAAGATATGACAACCTAAAGCCTTTGATTGAGGAATTGTGCGCTACTCTCTCACTATCTCTCTCTTTTATCATATATCAGTTAATACACGACTTTGAAGGTGATACAGAATAGATATCTCGCTTTTAATATGCACAAATTCAAGATGTATATCGAGTTCTTTTTGTTTCTTGTTATGCTTAATAAATATGTCATGGGGGATATAACATTTAGAAGACTTGAAAACGAGGATCCAGATGAAAATGCTATAGAGACAAACCCGAAAGAAAGATATGAACTGGAAACTATAAAAACAGAAATTTCGGATTTAAAGGAATTAATGAAGCAACAGATAACATACCTTCGGATTTTATTGACATGGCATGAAAAATTGGAGGCTGAAAATTCAAAATGGCTGAAGAGATACAAGAGCACCAGACGATACCTTAGAAAGATGAACCGATCTCATCAATGCAAAGATTCTAAAGAGGACCCGTTGAATGTAATAAAGCTTCACAGTCATCAGCTATCCACGACTTATAATGAACATAATGTATTCGGAGAGTCGAGGGAAACAAGCGACCCTAACGCAATGGAACAAGAGGACCATTCTGGTGCAGAAGCTAACGACCAGGAAAATGCTACAAAGGAGGAACCTCCAGTGGTCGTCAGTGGAGCAACTCTGGGTAAGCCTTTAGTAATTCTAATCTGCAAGCATTGTTGCCTTGGATCCATTTGAAATTAAATTGAGAGAACCATTGTAGCCTATTTTCAATTTTAGTATATACGGCGACGAATTTGTGTCCGAATCACGAAAGCTGAAAAAATTTCTGCTTATACATATCTGTTGCAGGCTTTTATGACTTAGAAGTCGATCTCACCAGTGGAGCTTACATTGGTAACCAAGCAGGCATTTCCTGGGTATCAAAGATTAGTAAAGGAATTCAAGAAAAATGTGGACTACAGGGCGTGGTTAAAATGGAATTTCCACCTATAAGTGATGGGGTACAGGGAACCATAATGATTGACATGTGGTTTGATACTCCTTCTGAATGGGTTTTCAACATTGGAGATTCGGCAGCAAATGATGGCTTATGTGAGTACAAGCACTATCCCACTAATAATCTACAATTGATATTAGTTACACTAATTAAATCTTATACCTACACTAAAAAAGGTGTATTCTGTGAAGCATCAGACCAGTGGTTCCCAACCTTTTTCAGTCTTCACACCCCTGGAGCAATCACGTTTGTTTCATACACATCACGCATGCGTTGATGTGAGGTGCTCTCTCAATTCAAATAAATTCTTCTCCTACACCAGTTGGCCACATCCTGACTGACACTGACACCCTAGTCCCACACCCCCAAGGGGTGAGAACAACCCAGGTTAGGAACCAGGGTATGCACCCTTCGTTCGCCTCACAAAATCCCATAGCTGGAGAAGGCAGGAATTTGATTGTTGTCATCAAGCAGACGAATGTCCGAGAAGGCTGTATTTAGACCCTAATGAAGTGGCTATATTATTAGATCTAATAAAAAAACGTAACAGAAGTTATTCTTATTTTGATTAAATCTGTAAGATACAACAAGTAAATATCTTACCTACAACAATTAAAACAATTTAGATATCCTACCTACAACAAATATATACTTTACCTACAACAATTACAACAATTAATTAGATATCTTACCTACAACAATTAATTAGAACAACAATTACAACAATTAATTAGATATCTTACCTACAACAATTGCAACAATTAATTAGATATCTTACCTACAACAATTAGATACATTACCTACAACAATTACAACAATTAATTAGATATCTTACCTACAACAATTAGATACTTTACCTACAACAATTACAACAATTAATTAGATATCTTACCTACAACAATTACAACAATTAATTAGATATCTTACCTACAACAATTGCAACAATTAATTAGATATCTTACCTACAACAATTAGATACTTTACCTACAACAATTACAACAATTAATTAGATATCTTACCTACAACAATTACAACAATTAATTAGATATCTTACCTACAACAATTAATTAGAACAACAATTACAACAATTAATTAGATATCTTACCTACAACAATTAGATACTTTACCTACAACAATTACAACAATTAATTAGATATCTTACCTACAACAATTAGATACTTTACCTACAACAATTACAACACTTAATTAGATATCTTACCTACAACAATTAGATACTTTACCTACAACAATTACAACAATTAATTAGATATCTTACCTACAACAATTACAACAATTAATTAGATATCTTACCTACAACAATTGCAACAATTAATTAGATATCTTACCTACAACAATTAGATACTTTACCTACAACAATTACAACAATTAATTAGATATCTTACCTACAACAATTAGATACTTTACCTACAACAATTACAACAATTAATTAGATATCTTACCTACAACAATTACAACAATTAATTAGAACAACAATTACAACAATTAATTAGATATCTTACCTACAACAATTGCAACAATTAATTAGATATCTTACCTACAACAATTAGATACTTTACCTACAACAATTACAACAATTAATTAGATATCTTACCTACAACAATTAGATACTTTACCTACAACAATTACAACAATTAATTAGATATCTTACCTACAGCAATTAATTAGATATTTTACCTATAACAATAACAACAATCAATTAGATATCGTCTTACCTACACCATTTAATTTCATGTCTTACCTACAACAATTATAAGATACCTTACCTACAAAAATTAGATATCTTGCCTACAAAAATTAGATCCCCTACTCACAACAATTAAATATCTTACTTACAACAATTAGACATCTTACTTACAACAATTAGATATCTTACCTACAAAAATTTATATCTCTAGCACAACAATTCGCTATCTTGCCCACAAGTTTTAGACCTCTTAGACACAACACTTAATAAGCTATCTTGCCTAAAGACTTTAGAACTTATAGCCACAACAATTAGATCTCTCAGGAAATATTTTTATCTAAACTTGATCTCCATTCTTATTTTCAGCTGGTGATGGTAATTATCAAGAAAACGACAGCGAAGCAGAGGGTTACAATCACGTGTTTACAGTTTATGGAAGTGACAAGAGTCAGACCTTTGACAAAGTATTATTTACAGCTAATAACGCTTTACAAACAAATCTGACTGTTTTGGTTACGAATGAAGAAATATCCTGGAAATCTTGGGAAATAGACGAATCTAGTCATTTTAAAACTATGAATAACACTTCTTTATTTGCGTTAAAGGGGCAAACGGATTCTCAAGGTGCTGTAAACTATGATATTTATTTCAGTATGAATAGGGTTATAGCTGGAAATTATCGCTCTGGTTCTGGTTTGTGTAAGGTGGCTTTTAAATGGCTACAAGCTATGTGACAAACGTACACCTCAAACACTCCATACGACATAACGAAGTCTTATGCTTATATGGTTGCCCTAGCGACGGATGAACTGGTATCAGATTTTAGTATTTTTCTCGTTCTGGTTGTTCATTAATAAAAAAACTATTTTAAATCCAACTAAAAAAAATAAATTGTCGTTGTTATTTATTTTCAAATATTGTCGATAATTATGTCGAAAGCAATGAGTTTAAGGGTAGTAATATTCTGCTTGTCTTTTCGATTTTGTACAACATAGCTGCTATTTATTTTGTGTTTTGCTCCTTATACTATACTACCCAAATAGGCTATACGTGTTTGACATTCAAGACAAATGGGGCTGGTTTGAGCACGATGGTACCATACTTCATTATGTTATTATTTGTTCTTGTGAAATGAATGGAGTTTTACGTCCTACTTATCTGCACCCTGTGGGCTAATGAAGACGGATTATTTGTTCTTATGTCGATAAAGATAATGTGTTGAGCTTGAAAAATATCGGTGGCGCTCTTATTCATTTAAATATGGTTCCATGTTAATCTTCAGTATTTACTAGCTCGATTTTGGACAACGTTCGTAGTTTACAACGCAAACACAGGGAAATGGCTTATTTTAAATTCCGAAGAAAAGCTATTTGCTTCGACGAGCTGCCAATATCCCAAACATCAGAAAAGATGCAAATCTGCAACGATGGTGACTATTTCGACCCTTTGTTTTCTTCTACTTTGTCTATTCTGCGTCTACTCAATTGAGCTTGAAGCGCACACAGGACCAGATCGCATAGCCCCTACTCCAGAGTTTGGGGTATTGACCGTTTTCCAATAACGGTTTATGGAAAAGATTACTCACAATATTGATCAATATTGATATATTTTTAAGAAAAGAAAGTATTTAATAAGTTGATAAAACAAAGTTCACATTATGAAAATCAAAATAGGCCTATACTTCCAGTTCACATAATTACTGACAGTTCACATTCACAACTAAATGTCAATAATCGATAGTTCACAATATCAATAATTCACAATGACAATAGTTCACAATTCACGTTATTAGTGAAAATGGTTCACAAAGACAATTCTTCACATTGGCAATAGGTTACAATCTATGTCGCATCCACACTCAGAGATTGTTTCTGTGTCCTTCTGCTTTAGCCAAGTCTCATCACTGCCCGGTTCCTATCTCTAGTCTAGCATGTCAAACATTAAAATTGGAAGTCTTAATCAAATATCAATTTATTCTGATTATATGAGATAAATTTCGTCTCTTGCGACCAGACAGTTTAATGCTAAAAACTTGGTTGAACATAGGCCCACAGTTCTTTTTTAGTCGATTTTCTGTTGAAGAACTTTTGGCATTTTAATTAGATTATGTTTATTCCCTTAAAATGATGTTCAGGAGGTTTCAAAGATTAAGAAGACAATACAAGTGGTAAAACCTACGAGTCCTTGCACGGTTATTTGGGTCTGATATGTTCAATTTAGATGTGGAGAACGTACAGTATATTGTATTGAGAGGACGCAATGAGACCACTTCACCCTTTTGATAGAGACGCGTTAACAGGGAGTAGTTATTAAATGCTAGTCCCTATTGTGTTTACTAATACTAAAAATTACTCTCTTTTTCAATCACATATTGAAGTCAATTTTTTTATGCATATTTTATATATTCGCTATATCGTACAAGAGTGAATTATTACTTTAATATTATAAATTTGTAAATACACACAGGCCACTTGCAATATACACTCACAAAATGGCTGCCACTTTACGTCGTCTGATTTTATTAGTTTCAATATTTTCATCTTTTTTGTGTAGGCCTATACTCGGGTGGGATGAAGGCGACTTTGAAATATTTGATGCTGTCGAGGAAGTTAATCAAAACTTCTATGAGTTTTTGGAAGTTTCACCGGTAGGTAGTCTCCAAGTTTGTATACCATATGAAAAATGTCTTATAGGGAAAAATGGGGATTGGCAAGTGGCAAGTAATATTCTTTATCAGTCACCTTTTACTCAATGGTTTGCGCATACGCACATACATATGTTGAACTTGCATTTGTGTGTTTGTATATCTGGTACTTAGCATTGTAGCTCTAAAGTAAGAAAATCTATGTTCATATTTATGTGAGCTCCTCTTTCTTGCACCGGGTTGAAAAATCCGAAGGTATTATCTCAACTTATGCCAGGATAGAACCTGGACCTTCAGGTAAGAGTCACTGAGCCAACGCTGCTCCAAAAGCAATACACAATGATAACAATGAAGAAACTGAGAGTATTAATATTGAATATTGATTGAAAAAAATTTGAAGAATTGGTTTACAGTCAAGTAACCTAATTTCGTGGAAACCTATTATTCGTGGATTTCTGGAAAGGATTAATAATTTACATGAGCGACCTTGCGCGACCTCCGCTTTAGTTTGTTTTGATAAACATGGGTTTTCTCTACAATGTCAGCTAGTAGAATGAATCCAGTAGTTTCAAGCAAGGTAAAATGTATTAATGTATACTTTGACAAATACAAAATGGCGGATTTCAGTTATTACCAAACGTCCCCATTTTTATCGGCCGAATTTCCTTATAATCCCAAGCGGTAATCGGAATTCCAAGTGTCGTCTGCTAGAATGTAGTCCAACGAATGAAGTCACGTGATCAACTAGCGGATTCTGTGTCAGCAGAAAATTTCTATGAAACACAAAGTTGACCATATTCTTATGTTGTTTCAGTGACTTTTAGCAATAAATCACGCTACGTATCTTATTTTCTCAGTCACTATTTTTTTTTTTAAATCGTGGTTCTTTGAAGGAATTGTCACTAGTTATAATGAATTGATATTAAAGATAAATACTAAGAGAAGTTAATTATACCACCTGGTATCCATACAACGTGTTTTTCTAGACTTATTTATAGATCAAACATTGTACACGAAAATAGGTGACGCATTCTGCCGCCGTTGCAGAGTTGGTTGCTCATGAAATATGGGTCAAAGTGAAGGATTCATAAAGAAAATTGAAATAAACCAATTTTTATTATTTTGTAGAATATCTGAGGAAACATCTAAGACAAAAAAATTTTTCGTTTTTTTAACTTTGACGAAATTCGGTGTTGAATCCTTATATTCACGAAAATAGGTTACACGACTGTACTATTCTTTGAAATTATTAAATGTTTAATCAATTGTTATATTTTCTTGTTAATTGACTGTTATTGGTATTTTTTGAAATCAATAAATTAAACATGCTATAATCATGGTCACTTTACGTTTCTTCTTTCTGCATAGAATGGTCTTTGGTTTTGCAAATTTTGGTCCTCGATTGACATTGAAATCTCACATATTGAAGACCATGGTTGTTCTTGGAATATAAATAAAATATAAAAATTTCAAGCCCTGTCTGTATATGTGTTAAAGGACATTGCAAATGCAGAAATCACATGAAAATATGTTGATTTTACATTGTCCTGTGTCAGAAAAATGTGGTGTTTTCTTTGCACTCAGTTTTGTTCTTCTTGTTTTTATTTCTTAGTGTTTCATGTTATGTATTTGAAGGAATAAAATGTACTTGAACCAATTCAAAGCTTAAACTTAATGTCATCCTTTTATTGAATTTGTAATGATGTTTCAGGATGCGAGCAGTAAAGAAATCAGGAAAGCTTATAGAAAGTTAACACTAAAACACCATCCTGATAAAAATAAAGAAGCTGAAGCAGAAATTACTTTCAGAAAGGTCAGAAAATGATTTTATAAAGTGCATAATTCTTCATGGCCATTGCTAAGGCAATTTAGATAAAATGGAGGTAATAATGTGCTCATAAATGTGAGACATAAGGTCGTATCTGTCTGATAGACCAGTCCCAATTTTGTATAGTTAACCAGCATTTCAATACCTGTCTGTTCTAATTTTTTTTGAATACATAAACATTACATGGGGTGGTAGTAGATATGAGCACATAGTCAATTTCAATATTTCTTTGTTACAGCTTGTCAGTGTTTATGAGATATTAAAAGATGAAGATAAAAGGAAAAGGTAAGAAATGAAAGAAAAAACATTGCAATTGAGCCAAAATGAGAGGGAATTGAATGCTAGGTCAGTTCTTATGAATAGAATCAAGCCTATTGAGATAAACAATGTGTATATTCTTTCTATTACAGATATGATAAAGTGTTGGTTGAGGGTCTGCCAGATTGGAGACAACCTATATTTTACTACCGTCGTGTTAGAAAGATGGGCTTAGGAGAACTGTTTATATTGTTAGCTGGAATAGGGACAATTGGACAATTTCTTACAAATTGGGCTGTATATTTTGAAAAGAAACTTGTTGTGGTAAGCTTCATTATTATCTTGTATGAATCAAAGAGAAGAAAATGTTAACAATCCTGAAGGATGCAGAAATTAATATTGTTTTAATAGCGTAATCACACAATATTTGAAGAAGTTTGTATCATTGAATTTCAGATGTCCTTTTTTTTTATTTCAGCAAGATGTTTTTGAAAGTAAACGGAAAAAGGAGTTAAAGAAATTGAAAAAAGCCAAAAGTGAAGGGGATGTAGATGATATATTACAAGACGAAATTGATGCTATACCACGACCAAAACTGATAGATCTTTGGCCTGTTTTATTGGTGAAGTTTATTTATCGTCTCATTATAGAATCCCCTCAGAATACACTGTTATGTATTGAATACATAAAGGAGGTAATACAAGAAAAGCTTAAGAAAGTGGAAGAAATTGAAGAAGAAAACAATGAAGATGATGAGTGTAAGTGTATGTAGAAAAAAAGAGTTTTGGATGTTGAAAGAAACAAAAGATGACACAAGTTTTCTGACAGAGTTTCACTTTTTTATCATTTAATGACATTGTGCAATGAAATGTCTCAACAATCCCTACCATGGCTGAGCTTAAAAACAATACAATAAATCAGAGTTCAAGTTTCACTCAAACATCTGTTTGATTTAAAATTTTAGTGTTTGAAAAAAGACCAAGAAAAAAACCAGAATACCAGTTACCGGAATATAATGCTGATTTGTATGAGACAGGTTGTGCTGTGTCTTACATTCCAACCTTAAAACCAGAAGCTAATTCTACTGAAGAAATTTCAATTAAGGTATCAACTCTTATAGCTTTTGTTTCTTTAACAAATTTATTTTGTGTGTTAAAGAATGTTCAGCATACAGTTGATCATGGAATTCATGAATAGACATCTCAAATATCTCACATAGAACATTTCTAGCAAGGCTGTGCCAATAAAAAATTCCATATCAATAATGAAAATATTGCATTAATTTGTACTCCAATTTGAAAGGACTTTTTTTTGTAGAAAAGTGGATGGACAGAAGACGATACTATATTGCTGGCTAAATTAGTAAATAAATTCCCTGGTGGTACACCTCAAAGGTGGCAGAAAATAGCAGATATGATGGGAAGATCTGTTGAAGAGGTATTTCATTTTACCTTTGTTTCCTTATTTATATGCATGGTGTTTGAAGTTATATATGTGACTGATTCAAATCAATGATAATACTGAACTATAATGCACAGAAAATATTATCAAACGCAGTTATCAAACAATACAAAAGTCTAGAGAAGGTTTCAAAAATACTTTTATCCTATGTATGTGGTTTGGGAATACTTAAAGCTTTTGTTGCATCATTCTGATTTCCAGTTGTTCAAAGACTTAAATATCACATAGATTTTTTGGAAAACCTGAGGTTTGAGTTGACAGTTAAAAGGCAAATCATTGTAGATTGAATTTTGTTGTTTTAGGTAACTTCAAGATCCAAGAAAGCTAAAGACACTTATGTAGCCAATCTAACATCTGTTAACCAAGTGGATAGTGTTAAGTTAAAGGGAGGTAATATTAATAAAAAGGGAAGTGAAATTAGTGACAATATCATAACTAAGGGAGAAGAGACTTCTTGCCAGAATGACACTGATAAAAGTCATAATATAGAAACAAAAGATATTTCAGACAAAAAACGTTACAAAAGTACAAACCCAGATAAAATTGTACAAAGAACTAAGGTGATAAATGAGTATAAAAATACTGGTGAAAGTAACAGTAGTGATGAGAGTAAATTAAAAATCAATGAAAGTGACACATGGACACAAAATCAACAAATGATATTTGAGTGGGCTTTAAGACAATATCCTAAAGGGATAGAACAACGATGGGAAAAAATTGCTAAGCATCTACCAGGCAAATCAAAAGTAAGTACAAGTCAAAATTATCATTTTCATTTGGCTTTAGAATATGTTATTAGGGGTCATGTGCTAGTTTTTATGAAACTTATTGATCAACAGATTATGATGTTACTGTAGGTCTATCGATTGAAGTTAGTGTCTTATTGAGTATTCTATACTTTGCTAATTCAGTTTATATTTTTTATCAATCTGATCATTACAGGAGGACTGTATCATTAGGTTTAAACATTTAGCTGAATTAGTCAAGAAAAAGAAGGCAAGCTAAAGTTAAAGAAAAGAAGGGCAACTATAGAAAGATAAAGAAGTCAAGCTGAAAACAGAACACAATCTGTGATATAATATATTGATATCTGGTGTGTGGTGGTGTTGGTTGATACATTGAAATGTCTGTGTAATTTATATTAATAAAAATGATTAATTCATGCAGCAATCAATTGTATAATTTTTAATGACAATTGCAAGTTATGAACAAGTTGCAGATTTGGAGAGAGTCTTTTCGTGGGGACCTGTTTGGTAGGTATTTATCTCATGACATAATATATTCTCAAAAGCACATTAAAATCTACAGTTTTGTGCTGATAAGGTTGTCTCAATAATGAAAATTATATTTAGCTTACCAGGCAAGATAATATACGCCTACTGGCAGCTTTGATTTCGAATAAAAATATTTGGCAGTACAGTAACAATCACCAGTATGAAATATTCAACCTTCAGTCATACACTTCTCTTGAACTTTTTGGGAATACTGTATAATATTATTAAGTTTTGTCAAAATGTTTTGTGTTTACGAGTAAAACATTTTCCGATTTTTTGATTTTCAATAGGGTTCATCCATGGGTGATAATGAACAATTTCACAAAGTTTTGTCTAAATCTGTCGAGAATCGTGTCTTCTACAGTGTTTAAGAGCCAAAACATGAACGCGCTTTTAAAAACAAGGTCAATAACTCATACTAAATCCTTGGGTGATGACAAAGATTCACACCAAGATTCGTCAATATCGTGCCTTCTGGAGTGTTTGCAAGCTAAAAAGTTTTCAAAAACAAGGGCATCATCTCATATGAAATATTTTTCGATTTTTGTTTGTTTTTCAATAAGGTCCGTCCTAGAGTGATAATAAACACTCACACCAAGTTTCGTAAAAATCTGTCAAGAATTGTGCCTTCTAGGATGGTTATGAGCGGACGAACCACCGGATATATGCCATTTCATGTGGGCGTATAAAAATATCGAAATACATTTGGAGTCAATAAATAAGGCCCATTTCTATAAGTCGTGTCCATACGGAATTGGACTATTTCACCTATGAATATTTGCACGTCTTATCGAAATTAAGAATATTTCAATATAAATAGCTCGAGTTATTGCTTTCGTTTCTAAAACTCGTGATGCAAAACGAAAAGTATTTCCACCTACCTCGTTCATTTGCTGTAGTACAACCGATTTGATCATTATCTTTTTGTTTGGTTATAAACAACGGTCAAATGAACTGTTATAGAACGGGTAACGAATCTGACCAAATTTCAAATTATATTTGATTACAGATTTGATATTGGTGTCTGTAATTATGATGTCGAGGTTATATTCGCTTTGATTTGTTATTTGATGGGGGACCTCAAGATATGTATAGTATACATGTGGTTGCCCGCATTTAAACTCATGTTTGCCCATGTTATATCTTGTCTTCAAACTGTAGGTAAAAATGGAAGAATATGGTATTTGCATCGCTAGATCCAAATAGAGTGAGGAGCAGTCTACAAATAAACAAAAAATAAGAGCAATCTGGTATGCTGTCAATTTGGTACAGAATTATAGACTTTTTTCAAAGCAGTTTTGTCACACATGACTTATTCATATAACAACAAAAGAATCACCTTCACAATCGCATAAATTAATTACATTTAAGGTAGACTCCGAAATTAACTGATATATCAACCATGATCTTTGCAGATTCGGACCTTTCAGAACAAGGGCAACTTGTATCTATTTTAAGTCACTAGTGCGCTCAGGTAGACTAAACTGAAGGCAATGAAATTTTATCACATAAAAAGATAATTTCAACCAAAAATATAGCAAGTTCGAAACTTACCAACCCAAATAACAAATAATAACGTTTGTAGGAATCTTACCCGAGCACTGCTAATTGTAGTGGGAAAGTCTAAAAATCATGTGATTCTTGACTGCACCAAGGGTATAAAACTGGTTGAATGGCATGTCGGGTGGAGGAGGAAGTCATGTGTCAAGGCAAATGGAGACTAGGGAAGGCTAAATGGGATTTCTTTAGGCGTCATTTCACTCGTTCCAAGCTAGAACTAGCAAGGGACGAGAACGTCTCTAGTTTTTCTGGGAAGTTGACTCAGGTTATTACTGATGCTGCTATGGGCTCTATTCCCCGGACTAAGGATGGCATTGCACGTAGGTCACCCAAGTCCTGGTGGTCCGATGAACTCCAGGCTGCCGTGGATGCTCGCAAGCGGGCTCTACGACGGTTTCAGAGGAAATCGGACCGTTATACCAAGGCAGAATACTTAGCGGTCAAGGCTTCTACAGCTGCTCTGTTGCGTGAATCACAAACAAAGCACTGGCAGGAGTTCTGCAACTCATTAAATGAGAAGACCAACCTAAGATCTGTCTGGGGTAAAATAGACTCAATGCTTGGTAAAAAATCTAATTCTTCCATTCCAACTCTTTGTTACAGGGATTCCACAGAATACAGCAATGAAGGAAAAGCCAATTTGTTAGCGAAGTGTTATGCTGACGGCAGTGCTGATACCAACCATACCAAAGAATTTCTAAAGAACAAGAAGACCTTCTACACCAACCACACTCCAATTCATCATTCGCCCTTAGAGGATGAACGGGATCTTAACGCTCCCTTCACCCTCGACGAGCTGAAGAAAAGCATTGTACAGTAAGAAAGACAGCGCTACTGGTGAAGATAATATCAAGTACAGCATGTTAAAGGAGTTACCAATGGAAGCGTCTACAGTTCTACTAGAATTATTCAACAAATCATGGTATAATGGTACAATTCCGGAAAGTTGGAAAACGGCAATGGTCATTCCTCTACCAAAACCGCAGAAAGTCTATGCAGTTCATACAGGTCTATTTCTCTGACCTCGACTCTATGTAAAACATTTGAGACGATGGTCAATAATAGACTTAGATACCACTGTGAACTAAATGGTCTTATCGATCCCAACCAAAGTGGCTACAGAGAGAAACGGTCAACAATGGATCAAATCGTTCGACTTCAACACGACATGGCCGCCCAACTTGGAAAGAAGAACTACTTCAGTGCAGTATTCCTGGATCTGTCCAAGGCCTTTGACTTAGTCTGGGTTGATGGTTTGCTTTTTAAACTTAATAAACTTGGCATTCGGGGTCGCATGTTCAGGTGGATCCAAGACTTCTTAAGGGATCGCCAGATACAAGTGAACGTCGCCAATTCTCTCAGCGAGAAGCACTCGTTGGAGAATGGCACCCCGCAAGGCTCTGTTATTAGCCCTACCCTCTTCAGCATTATGATCAATAATGGCCCTGGATTATGTAAAGCATATAGAGCTCTCGGTTAGCACGGCTCTATATGCAGATGACAGTTCGATATGGACTGGTCACAATGACGTATGCAAACTGCTCTGAACCAAGTTGCTAAATGGGCAAACGACTGGGGCTTCATTATTTCGGAAGCTAAAACCGTCGGTTTGTTCTGCAGCAGAAAGAAAGATCACGACAGTATTGACCTTAGACTGAATGGTGTGAAGATTAAGCATGAGAATTCAGTAAGGTTCCTGGGAGTACACTTTGACAGGTGTCTGACTTGGAGTACGCACATTGACTATATCTGTAACCGGTCTACAAAAATCTTAAATGTTATGCGTTATGTTTCAGGTACCACATGGGGAGCAAACAGAGAAACTCTAATGATGATGTACAGGTCACTGGTTCGCTCAGTTATTGATTATGGTTGTATTGCCTATGGTAAAGCAAGTGATACACAACTGAAGAAACTCGACGTTCTACACATGAAAGCTATACGTATTGCCACCAGGGCAGCCGTAGGTACGAAGAATGAGGCGCTACTTCAGGAGGTGGGAGAGAAACCCCTCTCTCTTCGGAGGGAGGAGCTATCTCTCAAATTCTGGGGGAAACTTCAGTATTTGTCCGAAAGCTGTCCGACGTATTCCAGCATCAGAAGATTTACTCGTGTCGGAAATAACCAGAAGAATCGGAGTATTTCTTACGGGCAAGCGGTCATTGATCTATTGAGAGAGCATCAGCTCGATCAAGTAACGATCTTTGAACGCCGCCTATCGGCTACTCCGTTTTGGAAGGTTACCAACCCGACAGTCAACACCCAGCTGATCCAGAGTACCAACAAGCACGAGGACCCAGTGGGAGCAAGAGCTCACGCTCTTGATCTCATTGATTCCGTGTACGCCGACCATTTGAAGATCTACACCGATGGTTCCATGAGTAATACCGCAACAGGTTACGGTTTGTGCATCCCAGCAAAAGGCATCCGCATCAGTAAAAGGATCCCCCCGCACTGTTCAGTGTTCACAGCAGAACTTTTTGCCATCAGGGACGCGGTAGCATGGCTGTCCGTCAATCACACGGAGCATGCCGCGATTCTATCCGACTCGCTAAGCAGCCTCCAATCTATTTTTCTCACCTCTTCTAATTGCAGGTCAGAAGTTATTTCCGAAATAAGAAGAATGATCCACAACTACCAAACCAACAACAAACAGAAGATTGAATTAGTATGGGTTCCATCGCACGTCTCCATTCCTGGCAATGATCAAGCAGACCGTTGTGCCAAAGAAAGTCTGAGTCTGGAGGATATCGAGCCTGTAGAATACTCCTATTCAGAGTTCTGCAGTATCGTATCTTCTAGGATCAACCAGAAATGGTCTGACATGTTACGGAACCTCGACACCGCAAGATACCAGATTGATCCGAAGATACCAAACCAAACCAAACCAAACCATCCATGTGTAGCCATCTGCAAAGTGGCAACCAGACTCCGGACCAACAACGTACTACGAGACCATCAGTTCAACGAAACCCGCTCGTAAGCCACTACTAGAGTACCTGGAAACCAACGGCATACCACTAACCATACAGAATGTTTTGGCTCCAACCACGGACCACTGGTATACGATAATGGAACTAGTCTTCCATTTTATAACCAAATCTGTCTTGAACAGATAGGCTAAGTTTTTTTTACTCAAAGTTTCTTAACACTTTTTAATTATATCCAATCAATTTAACAAGTTTCATCGCAGAAACATTAGAGAACATCTCTCCCCCCTTTTGTGAACCCCCCCCCCCCCCCCCCTTCTCTTTCCTCCCTCTTTTTCTCACTTTCTTTGTTTTTTCTTTCCTTTTTTTTCCAACAGATAACAGATAATCTAACCAAACCAAACCAAACCAACGACTACCATTCGACTACCAATCAACAAGAAATACCATGATCAGAACGAGTTTGGAAGAATGAAGGAGACCGAGTAACTCACGCCACACCATCCAGGGCCGAGTTTCACCGCCATGTCATTCGACCCGACCAGATCTAACGAAGAATCAACAACCAAACCAACAACACCGAATCATCCAATTTGATCCAATCCAACTACCAACTACTACGACTACCAACAACTACCTAGTTTGCGATATCAGCATCCGCTGGAAGCGAACGTTAACTTGTCATCTACCTACCTACCTACCATGTCGGGTTTACACAACGATATAATCAAGAAGAATGCCATAACTGATATAGCAACAACGTGAGCAAGCTCTGTGAATGGTACGGATAGGGGGCCATCCAATCATCCATGCCCACATCACATGGACTTTACATGAACAGCAGTGGCGGAGCCAGGTTTACGTCCCAGGGGGTTGCCCGAATTTCTAACTTAGTTATGAGAGTTTTGCAAACTCTTCGAGAGAAACACTATTGTTATTGGCAGAGTATTTTCACTCTTTCTAGAACACATGATACTACCCCCCTTAAGAGATCCACAAGTATTCAGTTTAATTATTAAATGATCTATTTTCCAAGGGAAGTAAGTCAAGGAATTTGTTAACTTGTGAAACCTTACCGAACTATCTTAATTTAAGACAATTCGGGCACAGATTTCAATTTTTTTTACCAATAGTATATGTCATACAATATTTATTGAAAAAAAATTGAAACCTGTGCCCGAATTGCCTTTTTTTGGTTGTGTAAAAAAAAGTTCTAAACTGCGTGTTCAATTTTTGAAATATATAAAATATACTCATACGAATGACATTCGGGCAGTGATTTCGATCCTTAAATAATATGAATTATGAAATATTATTATAGGAGAATACAATCGGGCTATCAATTTAAAAAAATACAGTTATAGTATAGGATATTCGGGCAAAGATATGATTTCATTTTTAAATTCCAAAAAAAAAAAAAAAAAAAAATCGGGCCGCCACTGATGAACAGGTCTTCCTGTGACAAACTGGGAGGCACTCATTGAGTTAGACACTTACTCGCTCACCTGAAGGTCCAGAGTTATTCCAGACATAGGTCGAGATAATACCTTAGGATTTTTCAACCTGGTTTCCCCCAGTCAGTGATGCAGGTAAGAGGTCCTGTCGGGTGGAACAATGGACCGAGACCCCGTACAGTGCATCTCTGGACGAACGACAAGCTGATGCATGAGGTCAAAGGGTTTATCGACAGATCGTGTCCAGGCGGCACCGAAGAAGTTAAGGAATCGAGGTTTACTTTGAATGTAACGATGTGTTTATAGCAAAATGTTTATTTATCGCTTGGCGAGTAGTGAAATTTATGAAATTTTCCTCCGTCATTTTCCTGAAGGCCATCAGCGATTTGATTGGATGTTATGAGCTACATCAAATCATTACGGATTAATGGTGGATGGTGAATATGTAGTAAACAGAGCCTATATAAACTTTGTGGGGGGTTCTTGAATGGCACTGCATTCCAGATAAGTTTTCTGTGGTGAAAAATGGATCGAACAAAGACGACAGTTGGTGTATAGATAATTGTTTTCTTTCATCTTTGCCTGTAAATCCTCTCTTTTACTTGCTGCAACCCATCTGACAAGCCTACAATGTGAAATAAGACACCATACGTTAGAAGGAATCGGCCAACTCGGACCAAAACAAAGTCGGACCAATGCTCATTCAGACCACTTTAAAAAAACTGTCATAGATCTCACAAAGTCGGACGAAATTTTCATAGAATCATAACACAGTGTTGGATCATGTTTCAAAATTCATTACTACACACTCCATTTGAAAGAATAATTATTTCAAATCTGTCAGAATTAAAATGTTTTAGACTATGAATGTTTTGAATTATGATCAAAATGGCCCCAAACAAAAAAGAGTTAAAAAGGCACCAGTCCTGGAGAAAGTCAAAATATTCAAAATGGCCGCAAATTTGTCAAAATAATGACATAGGCCTAATGATTTAACAAATGATGTTCATATTGAAGCAACAAAATGGTTTAATTGTTGATATTACAAAGGTATATGAATAGTGAGAATTAGATCTAGTTACAGTTCGAGAATTAATCCATCTCCCCAGATTTAGTTTATTGTTTTTATGTAGCCTAGTGGGTGTCATTTTTGTTTTGTAAACACAACCATGTCCTTCAATGCAAATCATTTTCAAGGTGTAGGCGTCAAATATGAATGAAAAAAATACCTGTCGTGGTCCTTATTCTTCGGAAACCTAAATAAGTTTAGTTCTGGGTTACTGCCTTTGCTGTTGCTGCAGTCAAAAGCTGCACAAAAACTTCCATGGCTTGAAGACGCCATAGCTGTTAAGTCTTTCCCGCGCTTTATAGCATCCAGCCACTAGAGGCGCTACGGTCCTAGTAATCAAAATGGCAGACATCCAGTGACATGGCTCGTTTATATAGGCTCTGGTAAACATCACAGTCCATGACGTTGGCTACACAAAGCACAGACATTGACAGCTCAGCATGAGATTAGGATAGACTCACACTGCACAACATTGGTAACGACCAAGCTGGTTGATGTTCGTCTACAGTGATGAAAGTCAGTTCTGTTTACTCAGAGATGATGGGAGGCAGAGAGTTTATCGCGGAAGGGGTGAACGGACAGCGGAATGTTTGGTAGCGGAACGGCCACCTATCCCCCGTGACTTAATCAGACGATTTACTTTTTTGTGTGTAGGAGGGTATTCGCCTGTATTGAAGCTCTGAGTGGTCAAACAAGCTACTAATGTGAATGATATTCACTAGAAGCTATACGTTTGCCAATATTATTGTTGTACAGACTTATCTGTTCTGTGTTGTTTTTTCTGGTGTTTTTAAATTTTTCAAAGTTTCATTTGACCTTCAGGTTTGTTTTAACCGATCTTCCAGATATTCCAGATTACTATAGACTTTCATGATGGCAAATGAATTAGTGGAGTAAGTCCATAATTCCATGCCCTGAAACTGCAGTCGTCTCCCCTTTATCAAAGAGACTACACTTGTAATATTTATGTTAGAACACTGATTCAGTATTTTTTATCTACGTGATATTAATATACTCCAAGGTGATAATAATTCATGGAATTTTGCATTTAAAACTTCGTATGTGTATGGTGGCTAACTCCAGTGGACATGCCATCACGACGGGCAGTTTCAGTTGATATGTCATCACCAAGGAGGATCTGATCTGTTATCAGGACGCGCAGTTTCCGTCAACCTTTACGACGAGAAACTTCAGTGGACAGGCACCTTCCATTGTCCAATCACGATAGGCAGCATCAGTTAATCTGCTTCCAGGGTGGACACCCTCCAAGGATCTCTTATCAGGACAGAGGGTTTCCCGCTGTCTGTCATCAAGACGAGATGCATCCGTTGAGATGTCATTTGGAACATCAACGTCTCTCCATCTGTCACCAAGACGAGATGCATCCAAGGAGATTTCACTTGGAACATCAACAGGACGAGATGCATCCATTGAGATGACACTTGGAACATCTAAAACAGACGAGATGCATCCAAGGAGATTTCACTTGGAACATCAACAGGACAAGATGCATCCATTGAGATGACACTTGGAACATGTAAAACAGACGAGATGCATCCAAGGAGGTGTCACTTGGAACATCAACGGCTTTGCATCTGTCATCAAGACGAGATGCATCCATTGAGATGTCACTTGAAAGATCAATGTCTCTCCATTTGTCACCTGGACGAAATGCATCCATAGAGATGCGACTTGGAAGATCAATGTCTCTCTATCTGTCACCAGGATGAGATGCATCCATTGAGGTGACGCTTGGAACATCTGTCCATCTGTCACCAGGACGAGATGCATTGGAACTTGGAACATCAACGGCTCTGCAACTGTCACCAAGACGAGATGCATCCATTGAGATGTCACTTGAAAGACCCACATCTCTCCATCTGTCACTAGAACAAGATGCACCCACAGAGATGTCACTTGGATGATCAATGTCTCTCCATTTGTCACCTGGACGAAATGCATCCATAGAAATGCGACTTGGAAGATCAATGTCTCCTTTTGTCACCAGGACGAAATGCATCCACGGAGATATCACTTGGGTGGTCAATGTCCCTCCATTTGTCACCAGGACGAAATGCATCCATAGAGATGCGACTTGGAAGATCAATGTCTCTCCATATGTCACCAGGACGAAATGCATCCATGGAGATGTCACTGGGAAGATCAACGTCTTTCAATCTGTCGTCAGGATAAGATGCAACCATGGATATGCCACATAGAAATGAAGGTAAGTAATCAAGGATGGACAATGACCTACACGGAGTAATACTGCCTATAGATTGTAATTTGGAGTCACACCATTACCTCCTTCAAAGGGTTCTGGTCGAGAAAATGAATCTCATGCGGACATACGTAAACCAGAATTGGAAAGACAGAAAAAGGGTAAAAAAAATAGATTTGTAGGAAGTTAAGCCCATTTTATCTTTTGGATACATGTCCTGAGTGCATGGTAACGAGAATCTGATCAAAACTTCCTTAGCTTAAGGTACATCATTTGCCCAGAAAGATATTAACAAACTTGTCGTAATTAAGAAGATTAGGTTCAAGACTGCTCCGATACCTCTAAAAGTTCCTAAGCTATCAAGTCAACCAAAGAGCCATATAATAGTTTGCGAAACTAAAGCCTCTGAGTTAAGATTGTAAAAAATGGGCCACAAATTGTAACACGGAAGACGTTTCCACCAGATAAGGTTCTTGAAATTCCCCCAGCAGGGCCAATTTTGGTACATCCACATAGGTCTTTTCTACTCAAGACAGTTTTTCTGAATCCCATCCACCAACACTAAAAGAAACATGGGCCACAACGTCCGGATAATTTGTACTGAAACTTTGCCCGTTCACTGGAATATTATCCGAGCATAGACCCTATTCCATCACCGTGAAACTGAAATCTCGAAGCTCCGACATCTGAAGAAAACTGAGGAAGAAAAGAAAGCTTAATCCTTGGAACTTTACGACAGACAATGCAGAGATCACGGACCCCAACCCGGAAAGAGCCACGTAAGAGGATTTTTTGTAAAATATATTGAAAAGCAAACAACGTGGAATTAAAACTACGTGTTGAAATTATTGCGTATCATATATTTTTTTACATGGCTCTAGAATGTTATAGTCCAGTACCAGTATCAGCTGAAGTGCCACTTTGATCCTCTTGACATTATTTCTAACATTAACCACTAAAACAACTTGTTGTAAAGGAAGGAAACGTGTGACTAATATGCTGAAAACATAATAAAGGAAAACAACATAAATACAACGGTCCAAAGCAGCGAGAAAACGGCACGAGCAAATACTTATAAACTGGCGAAATCTTTATAATCAGTATCAGAGGTTAAAAGTTAGCGAATTTAATTGGAAATTTCCTTTCATACACGGAAATTATATAACTACTATATATATTATAATTGTAGCTGTGAAAGAGGTCGGTCGGTCAAATTAAATAGGTGTGACACAAATTTCAGGAAACTCTTGTAGCAAAACGAGCAGAACAGATAGACACTCCCATACAAAGTTCCAATTCTAATCAAAATTCTTCTTCTATCTTCAGAAATAGACAAATTTGTAAACTTGACCTAATAGTTTAGATTGTTTTACAGCATAACAGTATGTCATTTAATCTGTTCTAGTTCACAAGCCTTTACAAAGGAACAAAAATCATATGAAGACATTTTGTTTAGATATTTTCGGGTCAGCAAACTTGAATCTGTGAAATCTTGAAAACAAAAATGTCGAATATGAAAGATTCTTGTCCTTGATCTACAAACGGAAAGTTTTTCCGTTTTAAATTTTCAGCATTCGTGTCTATTCTGTTTGTTTTTTATTTCATACAAAGTCAAACAGTATTAGGATAAAAGTTTTGAAGATTCAAAAACTCAATGCAGTTATCCGTTATGATTCCAGTAAAGAAAAGGAATTAGGGTGTGTTCGATGAAAAATGACAGAAGGGAGAAACATAAGCTTTATTTTCATATTTCAAATAAACCGCTCAGCAGGCGAGACACATGAATACCATCTGTTTGAGAGAGGTTCTGATTAGGTGAAAGTAATTATTGAAAGATGTGAAGCGTGGCTCTATATAGATTCTATAACCACAGATATTTCATTGTCCAGGTTTACGATAAGAACGTGGTAACTCTATGGCTGGGAAAAAAATAAGAATATATATGTATCCTTCAAACCATTCTGATTATGACGTGTATGCTTTTGTATACCAATTTCAGTATGCAGTTATCAAACAATTTGGCTTTTAGTTTTAATTCTGAATATTAAAATGCACACGAGAGACAAATGCTTTTTCTTCATTTTACAGATAATTAATTTAAATTATTTCTTAACACAAAGGACTTGAAAAAATCTCTTGATTTCGGGTATTTTGGTATATTTTCAAATATACCGATGGAATTGATCACTTCAATTCATGATAAGTTATACGGAAGGTAATTTAGTCGCAGTGTTATCCATGGCTCTAATCTTGATCATTTCTGAACTCACAAGTATCGGCTATCCTATCTATATTCAATGTTTGAAGTGTACAAGCTGAAAGGAAATACCCTTTAAACACAGACCGACGATTTCTTTATCAATTTGTTTCATCGTCATGGGAACGAGTTTTCAAAACACTTAAATGACAAATATTTCTCAAAAGTCAAATAACAATATGGTTTCATGTGATATTAATATGTGTTTTTACGGAGATGTCTTTAGCACATTTGCCAGACATAAAACTACATGTTTTGAATGCAAAAATGAAACAGCTGATGAACACAAGTGTTAATTAATTGTGACATGGAAATCCAATATCGAATGACTTCAGCCAGTGCGACGATATTTAGATGGGAATATCATATATAAGTTTTTAAAAAAAATAACTTCAACAGTGTCACGTCAAATTATTTAAAAATGTACCACACCAGTAAATTATTTTTAAAAGGCAAATTAATCAACGTTTGAAATACGATACACCCACAAATGTATAAACCGGATGTGGTCTATTGAAATAAAGTTTGCGATTTTGATGGGCATTTAACTTCCTTTAATTGATCTCATCTCTCATTCAGTATATGTATTGAAAGGTTGCAGTTTCCGTAACGCTGTATATGTTGCAGAGCGCCAGCGAAACCTTTTTAGAAGACCGCTTGGTTTTATGGTAAATTTCATTCAGATTATCATGGCCTAATAACACACGTATCTCATGAGATTTGAATGCTAAAATACGGGTGTGTTTTTATTAAGTAATCTATCTAAATTTCAATATGTCAAAAACATTGAATGACAATCTAATTCCACCGGAAATCACTGTAGAACACATTAAAAAAATAACGCAGATTTGAAGTCATGGAATGTAAGTTTAAAGTCAAAGTTCACAATATTTATCGCAATTAAACTCTTTCTGGAAAGATAAATACGTAAAGTTTTAATACAGAAAACCAATTATAGGCTTCTGTGGTCAATCATTTTCTTGATATAGTGATTAACTTTGTGGTATACAACTAAATACAGGGATACATGCATATAATGTTTCATCTATTTACATTACTTTATAATACTCAAATGACGTGGATTGCCGACCTACTTTTCTGCCCATGTAACACCAAACAGTGTACGATGAGGGATATTGTTTAATAGGTCAAAAGCATAAGCCTGCTCTTGTCAATGAAGAGATCTTTAACTGCTCAGCTTGTGATTTTGGGGTTTATTATCGCAGTTTTTTGGCGTTTTCCACGTCGTTGTCATACCTTCCGACATGTATCGAGATCGAATTGAGGACCCCGAGGTTAACTAGCGTTCATCTTGCTCAATGAGCCACGCCAGTCCATGAAAGGTACCTCTAAGCTAAAGGTGAACAAAATGTAGGTCAAAGACATTGAACTTTTTCATATTGCTTGACAAATAAATAGCCTTTATATATCTTCTGACAGACAATACAATATTGTGAACTTATTCAAACAGGTTACAGATTAACAAACAATCAGATATGTTAAGCAAAGTGTTTCTGATCAAATGTGTGGACGCTTTTTATCGCAAAATTGACCAAAATGGTCCCGGCTCAAGCACAATGCAGCGAACCAGCACACAAGATCCCACGCTGAAATGGGAAATTGTTGTAGAGCGGAGATAATAAGCCATAAGCTATGTTCAGCATGGGCTCTATTCCCTAAGAGATTAATAATTAAATATCATTTGATAATTCATATCAAACTCATTCTACGGACGAACTGATTCAGGCAAACAGGTAACCCGGTCACCGAATTCAAAACCAGCCAATTTGAATTCCACGCCGAACCGGTTTTACTATCATTTTTACAAAATACCAGATTTCTTCTTTGACCATTTATTTTTATTCAGTCTATGAACCATATCGCACAACAATCAAGGCAATTCTTTCTTGCAGTGTGTCTCTACGTTAAAAAAAAATAACTTGATTTTACATACAGTTTTGATACATAACCACTTAAAACCAGTTAAAACTCGAAGTGATTTTATGAACTAAATGTTCGTTTAGGTTGACGAAATCTACTCTTGATGTACAGTTTAATATCAAGAAAATTACTAATCTGAGATATAGCTTATCATACTATCATTGCATCCCAGATGGTATTCCAATAATAGCATTGAGTATCTCGAACTTAAATCACATGATGAATTAAACTATGAGACTGAAGTTACGTAAAAAGTAACTGTAGACCATATTTCTGACTTTGAAGTTAAAAATATATATCCAGCATTTTAAGAGAATATTCCTTCAATATTGTAACATGTTTTTCCAATGAAAAAATTCATATTCCCCCTACAAAATTATGTTTTGAACTTTTGAGCTGCTCCTCTTAGGAGCCTCTCTAACACCGAGTTACCAACAAAGGTCAATTGTAGCTGAAGATGGCGATTGTTCTTAATTTAAAACAGACAATAAAACCGTTTATGGAAACGATTCAGACAAATCTGAATGATCCTATCGCTGAAAGCAAACTCATTTCTCGGAGAAATTGTAAGATTCATAGAAGGATATGGGATATTCGTTCAGTTTGTGTGAAAAGAGGCACATGTACATGCTTGTGACAGTTACTTGTATGTATATCTAAGTACTAGATGGCCCACCCTACAAAACATAAAATATATTAATTTCTGACAATAATTGCGAAA